GTATTCTTTATCTCATTGGAGATAATTGAATACGAGTATATCTGTCCCTGTGATTATTATGTTTCAGAGTTCTTGTTTATTATTGTTAAAGTGTATGTTATCGAACCTGCTAATAAAGAAGCGAAACTACACCTTAACAATCACTAAGTGTAATTCAATTTCATGTTGCAAAAAAAGCAATAACAATCCTTTTCCAAATTCTACTGGAATAGCCGCATGGAAATGTTGGCATTTCTAAACTAGGCATAGCTCGAGAATTAATAGAAGTGATACTAGAATTAAATGTTCAAGATTTCTTCTTTTAGAACATTTTAAGATGCCAGTCACTAGAAAAGGATTAACTAAAATTCTTTCTCTCACCGTTATAAATCATTTGATCGGTTTAATAGTTTTAACAACAGTTTTTAAACAGACACTCTCAATATATAGCACTATTAGTATACATTCTGTTTCTTGCGTCACAGCCAAATAACTCTAGAATATATTATTATTATTTTGACTTTCAATTAGGGGAATTCTTAAAAATCTCGCGTGAACAAAAATTAACAATCTTCGAGACAATCATTTCATCTTGAAAATATGAAGTCATAAATTGAAATATTTTCAAACATCGGTTTAATAGTATCTGATATATTTTTATATAAAAACGAAATATTTAGTACTCACCACACGACCTTCATTGCAATCATAAAAGCGTTCAAGCAATTGAATTACTGTGGATTTACCACATCCACTCGAGCCTTAAATAAGCATGAAAATATTTTTTTCGATTATTCGATTTTAAATAGATTGTCTTACCAACGAGTGCAACACTTTGACCTAAAAGAAAATTAATAATCAAAACTTGAAGAGTAAGAGCAAAATTGACAAACCTGGTTTTATTGCTAAATGAAATTTATTCAGTACAGGAAGTGATTTGCGCGTTGGATACGCAAACGTCACGTTCTCAAACTCGATCGATCCAGAAAAATTTTCCTACAAAAATTTAAGAAAAAAGAGAATTCAAGTTTTTTCGAATGAGCGTACGGTGGGAAAAAGCTTGCTTCTGTACTTCAGAAGTACAGGGGTACGCTTTTTTCCACTTGAAAAATTCTCACAATTATGTGACCCTCAGTTGACCAGTTGTCAATCATTGGTTTACGTTTGAAAATTCGACACAATCTTTTCGCTGATGCAGATGATCGAGCCAATTCGGTTGAACTATCAATGCAAAACAAAATTCATAGTAGACTATTGTGAATAGACGTAGTTTCACGACAAAAATATTGTTAACAAGCATTGACCATTGTAATACAAAATGCTAGAAAATATCATGTAGGATTTTAATACAGTTTAAGCAAAGCTATTGACGACGAGTGAATGTGTAACACATTCAGATGTCGGTGTGATTTTGAACAACTATATTGAAGATTGCAGATATGAAATGTTTTCTAGAGATATGTTTCTAACGTCAGTAAAAGGTCTTAATAAAAAATGACATCCATCAGTCGAATTGAAATGAGTTTTACTTGTTCGACTTTGATTTAGTTCGGTATCGTTTTCAACTCGCAGTTAAAATTCAATCTTTGATATCGTTCATCCGGTTTTCATGGAATTCACTCTAAGAAAATGGTCAACGTATGATTATATATGACAACTCTCTGCTTCCACCTAACATACGCTAATAATATGTATTAATTATCAGAAAATATGAAAAAATATAAGCTACGAGAAAGTCTTTCTTCTGAAGGTATCGGATCTTCGTCAATAACAGACGAAGTCATATGGACACTAGCCAACAGTAACGTTAGTCGACTCGAGTAGTTCTCTAGAGACACGCTAGGAAATGAATTAACATATGACATATGACATACACGCCAGCTTTATAAAGGAAGAAAAATAAGCCAATAAAACAGCGAAAAGAAAACAAAATAGGAGAAGCCTGAAGACAACAATTTATAATACGATCTGATAAATAGTTGGGTGTGTTGTCTCAGCAATTATATGGAGTCGACTTATTGTGGCACGGTTTATGACAGGTATTAACTAATATACAAAAATATCTGAATAAAACATATAATAATGATAGGCATTACATCGCTCAGCAATGGATTAATGGTTATTGTGTGTTCGCAAAATAGGCAATATTTTCTGTTCAAGTAACTGAGAGTGAGGTGCAGTAAGGGGGAACAGCGGAGTTGAAGTAGCTCAACGTATCTAAAGTTAATTCAAGTCAAAACTTTACTGTTTCCCCTTGAGGTGCAGTCTCAACTATTGATGAAAATTCGGTTGACAAAAGTCATATTAGAGAACTTTCTCGCACTCTTTCTTCTAATATCTTTAATATTCTGCTTATTCTTATTATGCCTGCAATGAAAATTCTTTTAAATGTCATTAGTCTCCTGTTAATCTCTATAGAGCAAGAGTGAACCGATTGACTAGGCAAAACAAGCTTGTTAGCACAGTCTAACTGAAATTGAAATGTAGAACTCAAATGTATTCTTTAAGTCGGTGATATTAATACTAAGATCTTATAATAAAGAAAGTCTCTCGGGCACTACTTATTTTGTACAACAATCGATCGTCAGAGAAACGATCTGCTTTATTTTTTTCTGTCTTTAGAGCATGATATATTTTCTCGTTTTCCCTGGCGTCATATTTGTTTTTGATTCATTCGTTACTAATTACTTCTATTTTCTTTTTCTTAATTTGACATTGTTATTATTCTAAGCATGAAACTAACTTCAAAATAGGGCTTTTGTACATATCCATTATATTTACAACAGGTTGAAAAGCACCATTATATATCTCGTTTAGATCTCTCTCGTCCTTCAAAAATCATGTTTTCCACGATAGGAAGATACACTAAATTGACTGTAGTGAGATTTGGTGCATGCCTTGCTACACGTGACATGAGCAGCTACACATCCACACACAAATTCTACTGTAACTGTGTGGTTTGACACCATTATCATTAACATTGAATTATAAACTATTCAGCTATTGGAACTACACTTCGGCAGAACATTTAAATTTAGACGTATAAAAAATTAAAACTTATTGGAAATCATTGCTTTGTAAACTTATCAATGAAGAGCATGAAAATCATAATATATTTGAATCAGGCCGTTTTTCTCATTATATCATTTAGCGAGTATGGATTGTTTATAATTAGAATCAGCAATTAATTATTATCATGAAGCATGATAAGTAGCATCTATATATGAATTAATTCAGTACGTACATCATGAGAAATATTGGTATCACATCAAACGAAAACGGTACAAAAGCAAATAACCTGTAATACATAGAAATAAACAATATAAATTTTCAATATACGTTCAAAAATACTTGAAAATTTTCAATTTTTGCATTAAAGTTAATCAAAAATCAGTGAGCAATTTCTCATTATAAAATATTGATTGGCACTATTTTGGCTGTTTTTCAACATACAGTAATACTCGACTAGTTCAGTTTAGTCAGTAGATATATTTCTGTCGGCAAAAATACTTCATTGGTAAATCTTTGATAATTCAAGTTTATGACATAATGAAAAGCGTAGGGATGCAGCAAATCATTATTTGTCTTGAAAGGTTTGTAAATTTTCGAGATGAAAACCCACCAAATCCAATCAAATCTTTGTGGCAATTATAACTAGCTTTATTCGCTCTGCTTGGTACTGATACCATATTTTACCCGTTGGGACGGAAAGCATATATATGTGCTTCGATTCTGATTCCATTAACACCTATCCTACGCTAATCTCTAACGAGGCTCTAATGGCAGAAATGACGGTATAGATCATTAATTTATTACTCTCGATGCATGGCTATGTGATCGTTGGTGCTGTGTCCTCATTCAACTTGTTTCTTTCTTTCTTTCTGTCTCCTCTTACAATGGAGGTGTTTCAGGTGATAAGCAAAAACGTTGAAGTTTTTTATGTCAAATGAAAGCTCTCATCATGAAACTAACATAGTTAAAATATTAGCGGCTGTTGCCGTACTCTTATGGAGATATTCGATTTTTCAGTGAATTTTCTCTACAGGACCGACTTCCCAACAATATCATATTCTCGAATTTGAACCTGAAACTTTGTATGCATGAAGGTTTCAATGAGACTAACTTACAGAAAAAACATCAAAAGGTTTGAACAAACCCTCTTCGAGATATGAATCTCTCAAATATTGACAATTTTCTACAGAAGCTGTATACTTGAGGCATCTATATTTCGAAGAGGGTTTGTCCAAACCTTCTGGTTTTTTTTTCTATTAGCTAGTCCCTTTGAGACCTTCATGCATACATAGTTTCAGGTTCAAATTCGAAAATATGATATTGCTGGGAAAGCCGATCCTGTAGAGAAAATTCACTGAAAAATCGAATATCTCCATAAGGGTACGACAACAGCCGCTAATATTTTAACCATGTTAGTTTCATGATGAGAGATTTCATTTGACATAAAAAACTTCAACGTTTTTGCTTATCACCTGAAACACCTCCATTGTTAGATCCATTACTTCTATTACGTCTCTATCGAATAATGATACATACTATGGATTTTTCGAGTACATCTTCTTAGTCATCTTCTTGCGAGTTCTCTTTTTTCTAATATATTCTTATTCTATCCATTAAATATAACAAGCAGAGCTAAACAGAGAGCTGTTTCCAGATACAAATGCACCGGATTTAACATCAGACTTTGTATTTCTGATTGTTTTCGCGATTATCATACGTTGAAATACTTGTAAATGTTTATTCTTTATATTTGCGAATAGATGCATTGTTCAGTATTTCAAGAAAACTATTTATTTTTTGCTACATTAATCCTGTCTCCAAAGGGTTAGATAACCTCTATTCGAAATAGACAACATAACATTCGATTCTTCGTGATGTGACGCATCGATCGATGTATTTGGTTTTCAGAACAATCCGAGTTTATTTACTTTTTCAGTTCTTTGATACGAAAATGTGTCATATAAAAACAAGTGGATTAAGAAATGAAATAAAATTCAATCATCTCTAACTGCGATGCTATTATGACACTTCTTACTAAATGCCAACTGTTTGTTTTTCAATTAATTGATAGAGAATTATTCACTCTATTTCAAGTACTGACGTTCAGCCGTATACTGAAATTATCAAAGATTCACCAATGAAGTAATTTTGTTAGTAGAATTATGTGTAGGGGTAGTACGTTAATGTTAATTTAAAATTAACGCTAACTAAAAGCGTTAACCGTTAATATTAACAGTTAACGCTTTTAGTTAATTACCGCCGTTTATTAACTCGCATTAAATGAAATGGTTCACCCCTAATTATATGTATTGAGTTTATGAAGAGAAATATTAGCAAATGAACAGTTGAAGGTAACAACCAACAATCGAAAATATTTATTTTCCTTTGTTATTTCCGAAAATATAATAAGCTCAAGGTAAACGTTTCGGTTATTTTATATGTATCATATAACTTACAATATAGTACGCTGCGAATCGATGAGATTGTGATCAAGAAGTACAAGAGTAAGTGAACAGAGGGCAGGTAACATGAATGTAATAACTGGATATGATAATGCAAATGACAAACCACTTTTGAGTATACTTGGAATTGCTAATCTAGAAAAGAATTTTAATACAACAAACATGTGAAGTACTCATATGGGAAGTATTTTGGGCAACTGTTAAAAGTGAGACATTTATAGAGATGCTAAATCAAAATTTCTCGATTAATATCTGAATAGTAAATTTTTATTGCATTGTTGTTATCAAATACATGTACATTCTAGAAGTCATCGCCCTATTAAAACTCAAAAAGATTTCCACTTAAAACTTTGATAATAATAAGATTTATCATCAGTCATCGTTGCATATCCTCGTTAACTGAAGTAAAATCATTAGCATTTCATAATTTCTTCATCTTTGAATTCTTTCATTGAAGATTGTAGTCTTTTTGGAATTCTTACCTGTACCTCCGTTCCATGATATTTGCGAATGACTTTAATATCTCATATTGTCTATTAAGTTGATACACAGTGCGAATGTTGCGCACACTTTGTGTCACTAAATCACTGTACTCCAATACCAGTTTCTGAAATAATGTTGCTAGCCGAGTATTTCGTCGAACGTTAAGAATAGCATTGATAAATACAACAGCCAGTAAAGCATAGGCGACCAATGTCAATGCCCATGAAAAAATCATTCCAAGCACAAGAGCAATTAATAAAATTGAAACCGAGTGGATAACTAGACCGAAGCGAACTCCAGTCAGCTAGAAAATTTCTTTTCCCATGTATCAAAATTACATATTTTATAGAAAAAACAATCTTTCTCAGTCGTATACTCCAATCTTATTTACAAATAATTCCTCCAATTTTGATTCATCAAACTCTTGAATAAGGAATGTTTGTCATTTACCACAAATCGCCATCCCCAGGTGCATCCCTACATCATATATACATTTGTGGATAATTAAACAATTATTGTCCATTCTGCTGACCAAAGAGGGATTTTTATTTAGATTTTTACAATATAACATATATTATGTGTAGATCTGTGACAGCTCATAATCTTATGAGTTCGCTACTTTTCGAGAGCTGGGTGCAATGACTAGTTCCCTTTTTAGAGCTTGCACTGATGACCAGACTGTACTTACCTATACTACGGTTTCCGTTACAGTACTTGATTTCAATGGTAACTTATTTTTAGCGCAGTAGAAGATGGCGTTGAATTATGGCATGTATGCCATATCTTATTTTAAAAGAAAATTCCTATTTAGCCACCAGAATTGATCATAATTGTTTAATTATCCACCAATGTGGCTACGATGTAGGAGTGAATATGGAGGTCACAATTTGTGGTAGATAATAACCAACCGCCCCTTTTATGCTTGAAAAATTAATATTTCAGATTTTTCTAGTATTATTCTTCATATTTTCTTTCTGGATATTTTTTATCAAAGCTTAACGATAAACCTTAGTCGTGATATTATGAAAATGCGTAGACGAACATTTATCCTGGCACGCCCATTAATATGTGGTTGTATGAACATAATTTTTGATGAAAACTTTTCAAGTTTAACGACACAAATGTGTGACTTATTCGCATGCATACCTTCTGAATTTCAAGTGTATCTGTGGCGAGACATGAACACAATGATCCAACACTATTTTCAGCTTCATCAAACCATCCAACTTCTTGCCGCAATATGCATCCGAAGGTTTTAATACGTAATCGATTGGTCAGGCGTGCACCGGCCACTGCCAAGCTACCTTGCTATAAATGTTGAAGACAAAAAGAACTTTTTTAGCAGAACATCTATTTTGCATTTAGTTGGGCTTGCAATTGCCTTTTCCTTATGCGACGAGTAAAGCTGTCATATTTTACTTAAATAAATAGGTGATGGGAAGGATCACATGCTCAACTCTAGAATCTCTAAGCAGTAGTCTTTCTAATAGCACTGAAAACCCATCATAAATGAATAAAAGACCTTTTTTCCGAATATCTCCAGAAGAATTAACCGTTCTGATAATCAGCTCGGTTAGAACGAAATTGAATTAAAATGAGATCATCTATGCAAACTAGTATACCCCATATGCCGGCGTGAAAGTGACGGCATATGCATCTTTCCAGTAACTGAAACTTATCTACTAATTAATCTTCAGCGAGCATGGTTATGGCATTTTTAAACTTCCCTCTGTCTCTGACAAAATTCCTGTACATGTATTTATGGGATATAGTTGCTGAGCTAAATATGAATAATAGAGAAGATGATTTATCTACGATGGTACGTTGTTGTCGTTCAATTCAAGACGCATGCATCACTTTTAAAGAAGCTCAAAAATCCACTCTTTTGCCATTCTTCACCTCACTTAGAGCTAAAAAATTTACTATTTGTTAGAGATGAAGCAACAATTTGACGGGATCATGACCAGCATTGGTAAGATGAATGAGCCATGCAAAAAAAATTTGACCAGTCACATATTTATCCAGTGAGATATTTTAAAGTACTAAGTAGTGTGTGCCACACGAATTTTTACTGCATATATAACTCTGTAGCCCGCGACAAGTCGGAGCTGTTGGACAGCGTCAGGTGACTCTTGGCTCAGTGGGTTAAGGCAAGCAAGCATATTTCATCGAACAAAATGCTTTTGTGAATTCTTTCATAAAGCAGAATATTTCTAATATCTATTTTGAGAATCGTTTATTAATATGGACCTTTTCTCATATGTTTGCACGTGATTTGCAAATATCGAGAAAATGTGTCATAGATTACTGGCTATTATATCAGAGAGCGATATTCGATAAATTAGGAATCCAAAAACTAGTAATGAGTTAAAGATTTCTACACTACTAGCTTCTCTCTGATAGAAACTTCGAATGAAAGTTAGCAGAATAAAAATACTTATTTCTGAAAACAAATGAGATGATTTCAATTCATATTCGTCATTAAATCTTACCGCAATAACTGAAAATATAACGACGACAATACCTAAGGTGATGATGATAGCTGTAAAAATGTACAATTTAGTCATTCGAGCGGAAAAACTGCATTCACTAAATGCCTATAAACAAAATATGTATCATAACTGTTTAAAACATCAAATAATAATATTCTATATTCGTATGACTCACGTCGATAGATTGGACCATAGAGATAGAAAATGCTGGACTAACTGCACAAAAGGCTATTGTAAATAGGCTTGCAGTAAGTAAGTAAGGCCATTCCGGACTATTGAGCTTCAGTAAATTGACCAATGAACGAAGCGAACCATAAGGTGACTTAAATAGAATTGATTTATTACTTCAAATCGCACAAAACATAAACTATGATATACCTCGTCGATTAAAAGTTCTGCGTCTGTTTCCTCAAATGATGTTCGATTTACTTCGCTTTCGTTCGTTTGAATGTCTTAAAAAGATTTGTATTGTATGCATTAGTTGTAAAGAATTTTTAATCTTTTATTCTTGAATGCCGAACTCAGCGAAGTGGGACCATCGAAAAACTTCATATAATTGTATAAATACAGAGAAATTCTACGAGGGGATCTCTCAAAATGTACCATCGTTGTTTAACTCATATGTTAGCTACAGTTAGTGAGCCAAAAGGTTATCATAAATTTCCTTTATAAGTAGAAGCTTTTGATTCAACGAATAGAGATATATGAAAAGAAACTAGTGTGCGCTTCAATATTTCTCAGAAGGAAATAAATATGTTGTTCGGTTTTGTACCCCTAAAGCTAGAAAATTGAGTCATGTGCGTGTATGGCTGGGATTCATATCAGAGATGGGATCGATTCGGATTAAATTTAAAAAACCCTGAACCGATCCCATCTCTGATTCCTATGTAGGTGTAGGTAAGCTTTCGGCTTACGCACACCCGATTCTTGTGCCTTTAGTAAAAATAACCAGTAGCATATGCTTAGCTTACTATTTATCTCTTGACTAAGGATGATTTCAGTTGAGAAATCTTCCGATTCGTGCACATTGGCTATTTCTGACGATTGAACATTGATGGTTTCTGCTGGATAGTTTTTGAAGAGATTAGCATATATATAGTTTGCAGCAATAAGATCGTCATGTGAACCTTGTTCTACAACAGCACCATCTTCCAGAACTATTATCCAATCAGCATTACGTATTGTCGACAGTCGATGAGCAATAACGAGAGTGGTTCGACCTGTATAACGTGTAGAACAATCATTCATTCATTCATTTCTTGCAACGGACAGAAAAAAACAAATATACGACCTTTACAACTTCGTTCAAGTGCTTGTTGTATAATCTTTTCACTCGAGGGATCGAGTGCACTCGTTGCTTCATCGAGAATAAGTAAGTTTGGTTTACGAATAAGTGCACGTGCTAAAACAATACGCTGTCGTTGACCACCACTTAACTGAGCACCTCGTTCACCAACCATTGTGTCATATCCCTTGAAAAAATAAAATGAGACGAATATTTAGTCACATATATATTTAAAAGTAACTTAGAACAAGTATCATTACTTGAGGTAATTTCATGATAAAATCATGAGCATGAGCTTGTTTAGCCGCTTCGATAACGTCGTCTTGTGTTGAGTTAATTTTACCAAAACGAATATTATCTTGAATTGAAGTTGCAAATAGTACCTATGCTCAGAAATCAAAAATTTGCAACTTTCGAACATACGATATTGGTGAAAATACTACCGGTTCCTGATTGACGACTGCTATCGCTTCATGGTAATCATAAAGATCAAATTCTACAATATTACGATCGTTGATCTTGATGTGACCATCAGTTAATTCGTAGAAACGAAGCAAAAGTTGAATACACGTACTTTTACCTTTTTTTTATTATAAAAAAATGTGTCACTGAGCATGAATGAATAATTTGCTAATCTTACCACTTCCTGAGCCGCCTATAAGTGCTACTGTTTGGCCAGCATTAATTGTAAATGATGCTTTATTTAATACAAGCCTCTCTTTTCGACTCGGATATGAAAATGAAACATTGTCAAAAGTGACTTTCATTGGATTGCCGGATGTTAGCTTTGTGACACCCTCACTAACTGCTAGTTCTTTTGAAAGTTTAAATTGTTTCGTTAGTGTTTTTACACGACCCTAAGAATGAATCATGTTTGAAATAAATATTCAATCATTTACGAACAAGAGACAACAAGATAATCAATGTTTTATCGTATTCAAAAATGACACAATATATACTTCAAATAATAGCTTATTCGTTAATCTTTCCATGTATTACTTTCGAAGTTCAAGAGTACTTTGACAATCAGCAGACATAGAAATTGCATGGCTAATTTGATTTCCTCAGTGTTCATTTTCTGCAGAATGCAACAAAAGTCTCGTTTCTTATTATGAAACATTAGGTTTTGTTTTAAAAAATTAGTGAATTTTAGTGATGACAATCGCTCTCATAATTACTTCAGCTTCGTCAATGTGTTGTGCTATTGGTAAAACAAGAATACACGCGTCAGCAAAATCCTTCAAGCAAGGAGCAACATCACCAAGAAACTGTATGCCCTCAGTAATGGCTGTGACAATCTGAAAGAACACATTCACATTGATAGTTAGATAACTGTTAACAGGCCAGTATTGATGTAAGATAGGGTAACTTACAACAGCGATTTTACCAATATCGAGTGTCTGATTCTTTCCTGTATTCATAAGCCATGCTCCTGAGAGAAGACCAAGTGCCGTCGTCCAATAGACAATCGTCGATAACAGTCCAATATAAAAGCCATAAATTAGTCCTTTGAGAACTGCATACTTGGAAGTACCTTGAAGCTTTGATGCATATCTACAGTAATCGAATGAAAAAGCATGAATATAATCCCAATATTGCTGAGTGTTACGAATGCACTGATGAGAAAATTTTTCCAAATTAAGAATCAGAGTTGAGATGATTATCTAATTGAACGGAGTTCAACGAAGCTGGAAAGATGGTAGATAGATTCATCTCTGCAGGAGTTAATTTCTTAACTGTAGTGATATGATGAGATTTTCTAATAGTAATGAGTATTTTGAGACGATTCAAATTCTTTAGTTTGAACGTTAAACTTTGTTGGCAATCTAGGCGCTAAACTAATTTTTCGCACACAAGGTCTCAAATTAGGGGTAGCACTTTCACCTTCTTTTTTTGCTTTTTATATTCGTATAGATGGACCTGAATTTGCTGTTTTCTATAAAAGAAGCACCTAAAAAGTCGTAATTAAGGAAAGAGAAAGAAAGTATTTAAAAAGTGACATTATTTGAAAACAGAAACATAAAATAGGTTGCCGAAAGATAAAATTTCGTGCTCTAAACACCCGCCATTAATATACTGCGAAATTACTGGCGGGAAGATGGTGGTTAGAAAAGTTATGATTTGATCAAAATTACTATATTGATATTCTGAATCAATATCAAAAGTTGAGTTGACTTATGTATACTTGCAAGGAAAGTTAAGGCTTTTCTTGTGTTTTCGAAAAAAAGTGAGTGTCAGCCCTACCTCTGCCTAAAACTATACCTGCAATTCATCTCTAAATATCTTGCTGATATTCGAAAATCTGAAAAACTCATAACTCACAAATGAAGGACTACGAAGACAAATCAAACTAACCTTTTTTCCACTTTCACTCTGCTCTACATAGTTTTATTTTTCCCCTTTCTGAACGTGAAGATCGCAATATCTTTTTTTAGGCCTTTGACTTTTCGTCGTTAGTATTTCTCTGAAATATCTTCTGTTAAATATCACAGAAATAAGAAATTTTCTTTGCTGCTTAGTGGTTTAGTAGAGTCTAGTTTTCGAAATTTATAGCAGAAAAACTTGCAATGCGAGTATTCCATTGTACATAAAATTCGTTTTAGGATGATTATTATTCACCATACTAAACAGTAGTAGGAACATGAACGATGAACTTTTAGCCCGGCTGTCCGCTGCCAATTTTTAATCATTTTAGTCTAAGACAGACAGTTCTCATACATACAGGAAAATTCGTTTAAGATATTGAACTCCAATATCTTCTTGAAGAAAGCATCTAGTAACTTTGAGGTTCACACAGCTTTTGCTCTGCTTATCAATATCTGCATTCTTTGAAAACTGCAGTTTTTTCTAATGAGGTGTTGTTGATGAATATCAAGAAGGAGGCTTTCCTTAATGAGATAATGTTCTTCTAGTAGAAATTTCTATTGCGTGAACAACGTTTTACGTCGGTTAGTGATTAGATGATTGTTAACACCATTTTCTTTTCTTTAGCAGATTCTAAAACATGACTTGCTCCAATTTGAACGGCTAACTCATCTACCATGAGGATTTAACACAACTAAATTCCTTATAATAAAGCCAACATGATCAACAGAAAAGGTATCCAGTGTGCGACGCAAAATAATGGCACAAAATGCCGTTCTCGATTTAACTTCGATTAAAGGCTATTGAAAAAAAACAAGTAACGTTCATCGACATCGAAAGTCGATTCACTGGGCCCTAGACTGACAGTGCTGAGGAGAAGAAATGCATGGACAGGACAGAAAATTCGTTGTTTGTGCCAGTAGCTGTTGGCGATATTTTTAAACAGATCTGTAAACGGGGTGGGAATAAGTGAAACTGCAGTAAGAATTAGACGAAAATTAAAGATTTCAAGTAAAATCACTAAAAGGGAAGACGAAAACGGACAGAATGGTACTCAAAAGCGCATAAATCGGCGGAGAGGTTGAGTGTTACCTAGCCAAAAAATACAGTCTGGAAATTTCGTGATGGTAAGCTCAAAGTTCCGTAGGGGGATCAGCTCACCCCTCCACTCAAGACATATCTAGAGCGGACTGTTTTCCGTGACCATGTTATGCAGCCACCTATGGTTTCTACCGTATCAATGCCCTAGGGCCCATCAAAATGGTCATTTGTACCATGAGAATTGGTCCTTTGTGCCACAGGAATGGTCATTTGTGTCATTGTTGCAGACAGACAGACACAGGTGAATTACGGTTTCTAGACCCTATCCTTTCAGTCTAGGGAACGTGTTTTTTAAACCAAATGATGAAGTCTGTTCTTCTCTTTCGAATCATGCAGAACTTATTTTTAGCATGCGTTCATAAACGAAATCATGCAACAGAATAGAGAAGCACTCTTAAAAAAGGATCCACTTTTTTTGTGCGATACAAGAAAACGACACAAACTGTTTATCCTCATACATCTTCAGTAACTCTGCGATAAACACCTTTCGAAAGGAATATCTATTATATCAGTTGATAGAAAATTTTCTCCTCTTCCAAACACTATATCATTATTTTCCTAAATGAATGATACGATAAAAACTGTTAGCGCAATTCCTGTGGGATTAAAATCTGAAACACGATGTATCTGCTGTTACTAATGGCGAGAAAATTGTTTTACTCGATATACCTTCAGGCACATTTAATCGCTACTTCTTACTTAATACTCAGAAACTTCAGCAAGGAAGCCGTTTATATGTTTTGATGAGATTTTAGTGATATATAATCGTTATTCCTGCATGAAATGGTCTGCCATGATATCTGATGGAACTGGATTCTTCGTGTCACGGTCTATGATGGATCTTGCATGCTTTACTAATGAAATATTGATAGAAATTTGGTTGATTAGCTAACTCTGGTCACGGTCTGTGGGCGGGGGCCAAATTTCTATCCTATATAGTTCAACGCTCGTTTCAGATCGTGTTTCACAAAGAAGAGAAAGACTCGCACGATGGATTTATAAATTTCATATGAACTCGTCAAAAACATTTTATTTGAGAAAAATGTACTTGTTTGTTCTCTAAGCAGTGTTAAAAATACAAACAAAAGCTCTTTAAACTTTCCAGAAAACCTAGCAAAAGGTTGAAAAACTCGAGTGTTGCAAGTTTTCGACATATATTTCAAGTAAAAATGTAGTTCTCTCTTGTATGTTAATATTCTTATAATTTAGTACGATATCTTACCGTGCCTGTTCGCTAGTTTGTGCGTTGAATGCTAATACAGTCCGAAAAGCGGCGAAGACTTCCTCGGCGACTTTTCCCACTTGTTCATAAGATTTCGTTTCTTCATTGCTTACTTTGGCCATCAACTTGAATAGAAAATTAAGAAATTATATGCGACAAATCTTTCATCGTAGTTCAGCTTTTCTCATAATATCTTCAGAAGAGGTTTCTCGAATTTTGAATGAGAAAATTTTTAACTCGAGCACTTTTAATACATATAATCGAACTGTGTCATCTTACAAGGAATGAAAGATTTTTTTGGCTAAATATGCATAGCGTTAAATGCACTCTTGAACTTCATGTATTGTTTAGCGCTAAAAGATATTTGATACAGTTCTTTGTACGGTGCCATAATTCAGTAGTCGGCAATAACTTTCTTTTGTTATTAACACCTCGTAGGTATTGCTGAGTCCATGTGGACCGGCTCACAGTTTCTTCCGATAGAACTACATGAACAATTGCTGCCCCTTAAGATCATTCTTGTTATCTAGTCTCTAGTCTCTTGTTAGTGTATAATCTTCTTATCAGGCATCGTCAATAGGTCTAACAGGGGAAAAAGCGCAGATGCCCGGTCTGCATGGATCTCATAACAGCTATCGTGTTATAAACAAATTCTTAGCTTAGTCTTGCTGAAGTTGTCATCTGTTGTCTCGTCATTGCTTTTCGACTGAGATAACTTGCATGAGCGATGGCTATCAGCAACGCGAACTGCATTGACGCTTATATGCCAACGAATCTAGAAATTCGATGTCGCTTATGTCAACCTTGCTTTTCTGTATAGATTCATTTCTACATTCATTATTAACAATAATGATTCATATTATCTTTCTACACTGTTAAATTTGTAATATATTTGCGATCGAAACCATTCTTTCATCAAATCTTTGTTTACACTTTCGAATAGTATGCATTTTCTTAGTCAGAGTGTAAGAGAAACTAACAAATATATATTTCTACACTTCCTGTCTCCAGAATATGAACACAAAACATTAATTTTATTTAAAACAGCTCAGAGAGATTTCATTGACATATAATAATGGCATCAAGAATGGCTAAAATTCCGATCTGAACAGCGGATGTGATACTGTTGTTACTGAATCAAATGGTATATCGACTTCTGAACATATATCGGAGCAATTCGATTCTTCCGATTCTGATACTAAGTGAAAACAATCTATTGTCTGTTCAGTTATGCTTCATGTTGTTATAAAAGCGATTCCAATCAACATTTTTTCGGTATTATATACTGATATATTGCCGCCATAGAAACTTACATGTCAGTCTATAGAGTAGGAGTATCATACATTTTTATTGTAAGGTTTTCATCCGATCAAAAACAAAATGCTTAGTCAGTCTTCCTAAAATTGTGCGGTTTATTCAAACAATCGATTTACATTTTCTGATTATAAAATGAATGGTACTCGAAGAACCAAAATATGACGTGAAAAAACTCCATTTGCATTTTCTGAGAGTTTCGTTGATTTGTCTACATATTGGGCGTGAATGTAAGGATAAAAGGACGACCAACACTGAAACTCACACACTTTTTCCAAACTCTGTTGTCTACTTCGGTCCTGAAGAATCTACTGGTTATAGAAAAGAAATCCCATCTCTTTTTGTCAGTAAAGAACATAATGTATGACTTTTGATATATTAGTGATTTGAATATTTAACACCAAATTGTTCAGAAAAAGAAAACAACTCCTCATAAACTTGCCTTCGGTAGGAGTATGGAGATAAGGCAACTCAATGGTTGTGCAATGAATACGATCAATGCTACTTTCCAATCGGTGACGAATGCAAGAATGAGAGCCCCGATGAAGAACACCGAAGCAGAAAACACGGTTGAGCTTGGCCACCCAATGCCTGTTTGTATTGAAGTCACATCCCTATTGAAAAGAAAAGAAACATATTTTATTTATTGAAATCGAGTATATTTGTCTTGACATCCTCAATTAATACTATAATCAAGTCAAGTCAAGAAAGCGCAAACGTAAGGCATGATATTTGAATTAGAATGCATTCAAGTTTTGCCTGATATCGAAATGAGACTCACTGAAGCATATTGTTGGTCGATGTTTGCGTTGTATCAAAATATGAAATAGTCTAAATTATAAAAAAAAGTGCTAGTTATCATGTTTGCAAGTTATAGTTATCCAATATTGATATCATAAGCGTTTGTATAGCTTCATAGTACTGAAACTTCTTTCAGAACGTTGTATTTTGTAAGGAGTTGGAATCCTTTTAAACATAGAAGATGATGAGAACTGTGTGCTTCTGGAAAACTGAGCTGAAACACACAAGGGTCCTAATGGCCACTGATGAAGGATTTACTAGAAAGTAGCACACCGGCTGAGTGTGACACAAGAATCGAACTGCACAATGCTCGTAGTACTCTGAAAAAAATAAAGGAGGTTTACAGAACCCTCCGAAAAGGTTCTGTAGATTTTCAAAATGCTCCAAATGTGTTCAAAGTCTCAAAAAAAGGATAAAAATTTTGACAGAACCTTTTGAAGGTTCTGCGTTTTACCCAAGTGCAGAACCATCTCTTACAGAACCTTTTT